ATCTGGTTGCATCTGTCACAACTAAGCAAGTCCCCTCTGTCCTTGCAGGTGCCTTCCTCTTGTTGTTTGCTCTGTGACTTGAGTTCTCTGATAGGTTCAGAATAAGTCATGCATTTGAATTTAGTGTGACTTTGTTTCATCCTAATGGTGAGAGCAAAGCTCTTTGCGGCTTTCTACATCCCACAGTGGAAACTAGAGCCCTGCTTTACAAAGCTTAATGTACATATAAAATCATCTGAACTCCTATTGAAATGCAGATTCTGTTTCAGTAGGTTTGAAGTGGGACCTAAAATTCTTCATTTCTAACAAGTTTGCAGTGATTTCAATGCTACAGGTCCATTGAGTGCAAGGTTATAGAAGGTGTTTTTGTTTTTGTTTTTAAGGTTGGAAAGAGTTGAGGTCATGTGGATGTTTGAATTATGAAAGAAAACAGGTAAACATGTAAGAGTGATAATGTAAGATGTGGCACATTTTGTGAGTTGGCAGAATTTTGTATTTGTTTGTGACTAAGATCTATGGTTTGAAAAACATTATCCTAGCTTTTTTCTGCTTAAAAGGGGCTTCTTAAAAATTAGCAAAAATGTAAATCATTAACACTGATTTTACAGTTCTACAATGATCACTTTTTGGTTATAAATGCTGTAATAGATGTATTCTTTTTTGTTCATCTATTTCATTTTCCACGAATACCTTGAATATACTGTCCATTGGTTAGTCTCATTTCTTTAGTGTACCATGCCCCTACTGTTATTTTTTTCTGTTGCTTTTCTTCATTCTGTTCTTCCTGTGTTTTCCCTGCTTAATTTGTATTGCTTCTGAAATTTTGAAACATGGGGTGCCTGGGTGGCTCAGTCAGTTGAGCATCCGACTCTTGATTTCGCTCAGGTCATGATCTCAGGGTCATGAGATCAAGCCCCACGCTGGACTCCGTGCACAGTGGGAATCCACTTCTCTCCCTCTCCCTCTGCCCCTCCCCTGCTCATGGACTCTCTCTCTCAAAGAAATAAATCTTTAAAAAATAAAACAAAAATTTGAAACAATCTCAGATTTATCTCTTTCCATATATTTATATAACAAATCTCAGAGTTTCAAGTATAGTACAGTAAGCTTTTTTTTTTTCTTTCTCCTGAGTCATTTGAGAATAAGTTGCTGACATGATGCCATATCATCTCTCTCATAGGTTGAGTTCTGTGGGAAGCAGTCTCTGAAACAAAGATTAGCATGCGGGAAGTTTATTGGGGAATGCTATTGAAATCCTCATCTTTGAAAGGGAAGGGAAGGAAGTAGGTTTGGGCAGAGGTACAAGTAAAGTGATGCAGTCTCAGTGGAAGCCTCAGTTTACCTTGTGGAGAGTTCTACAGATGGGATGACCCTTCAGTTTTGTTCTGAGCTGGGTGAGAGGTCTGGGCCTCTACCTCTGTAAAAATGAGCTATTTATTGGATGTGGACAAGGTACAGAGCCTTGGATGAAGCAACATTCTTTGGCTGAGGCAGTCTCCTCTGATGACTGACCACTGAGAGCTGTCTCTTGGCAGGAATTCCAGCACTTAAGGACTGACTATGCATTGCAATGTCCACTACAGCTGGAATACTTTGGCTTGTGTTTCCTACAAATGAGAACATTGCCTTATATAGCCACAGTGTAATATGTACTACCATCTAAATATTCTGAAGTAATTCACTTTCATCAGTTCTCCCATTCATGTTCCTTTACAACAAAAAGATCCAGTCCAAAGTCACATGTTGCATTTAGTTGTTACATCTTTAATTTCCTTCCACCTGGAACAGTTCCTCAGTCTTGACCTGATCTTCATGACCTTAGCACTTTTGAGATTACAGACCAGTTAATTTGTAGCATGTACTTCAATTTAATTTTGTCTCTTTCCTCATGAATAGATTCCAGTTTTGCATCTTTGGGAGGAATATCATAGAAGTGGTGTTATGTTCTTTTTCATCCTATCAGTTGCCCATGATTTTAATTTTTCCCTGGTCATGTTAACCATTTCCAGGGTAACCATTTTCTCTGAACATTTGACAAAAGTGGTATCTGTCTGATAAATATTTTGTGGAGAGGTACTTTGAGTCTATGAAATATTCCATTCCTCATCAACTCAGTTATTAATTTATATCAATATATACTCATGGATTCTTTTTCTGTTTAATGGTTTATAATTTATTACTATCATTTTTGATCCTCTAATTGTTCCATACTTCACCAGTGGGAACGCCCTCAAGCTGACTTCTTTGTCTTTTTGACATATCCCCATTACTCTTCTTTTTTTTTTTTTTTTTGAACATTTCCTTTTTCCTTATTTTCTGCACCATAAGATGTTCCAGGTTCCTCTTGGACTTTTTCTGCCCTAGCTCTGGAATCAGCCATTGTTACGGAGCCCTTGTTTCTTTAGTGTAGAATGGTATTTAGAAACCAAGATCTGGGCATTAGATGTGCTCATAGTTATTGGGGTGTTGCTATTTCCACCCCTATCATGGACAGAGCTAGTGAATATATGAATATATGTATTTATATATGTAATAAATATCATTTATATTTCTATTTCTCTGTCTATATTATAAAATGAGAGTTGATAGCAGTTTCTTCAATTCTGATCCAGCACCACAGCGTACATTCTAGTTTTCTCTTCCCGTATTTCTAACTCTATTCTATGATGAAAAAATACCTGACTCCCATTACCTTTATTTATTTATTTATTTATTTTTTTATTTTATTTAATTTTTTTTTTTTTAAGATTTTATTTATTTATTTGACAGAGAGAGAGATAGCGAGAGCAGGAACACAAGCAGCGGGATGGGGAGAGGGAGAAGCAGGCCTCCCCACAAGGAGGGAGCCCGATGTGGGACTCGATCCCAGGACCCTGGGATCATGACCTGAGCCGAAGGCAGACGCTTAACGACTGAGCCACCCAGGCGCCCTATTTATTTTTATTTTATTATGTTATGTTACTCACCATACATTACATCATTAGTTTTTTTAAAATTTTTAATTGTTATGTTAATCACATCATTAGTTTTTGATGTAGTGTTCCATGATTCATTGTTTGCATATAACACCCAGTGCTCAATTCAGTACATGCCCTCTTTAATACCCATCACCAGGCTAACCCATCCCCCCACCCCCCTCCCCTCTAGAACCCTCAGTTTGTTTCTCAGAGTCCATAGTCTCTCATGGTTTGTCTCCCATTACCTTTAATATATTTATTATTTAGATCACTCTTTCTATATGTCACCAATATTCCATCACCACCACTGCCAACATACTCCTATATAGATGCCCTTATCACCCTAGCTCTGGCACTGACACCCTGAGCCACATCCCCTCTCTTTTACCATGGGGAAGCCTTTCTTACCCTATTTGGGTTCTGACAGATTGTGCCAGACTGACCCCCCGTGTGAACGCTTCCTCCCTCCCCCTTGAGCTCTGAGACCCTGTTCTGCCTCCCACACAAATGCCTACCTCACTGATTCCCATCTTATGGCTTTTAGACTGAATTGTATGGGAAGGAAAAGGGAAACCTACTTCCCCTCACTTATTTAAATCCTTGCCGTGCTTTAAGGCCAGACTCAAAACCTCTTCCTGGAGGCTGTCTCCCACTTCTTAAGGCTATAATTTTTCCCTTTTGTAAACTTATATGTATTTTTTTCTTCCTCTAATCATCTCATATATGTTTGTATATCCTTGAGATTAGGGACTATTTTCTGCAAGGTTTGTTTTTTGTTTTTGTTTTTGTTTTTTAGTAACCTTTAAGAACTTTTTTTTTTACAGCAATGAATGCACATTTTAAAAAGTTTTGCCAGCTGATTTATGATACAAGTATTTTACTTTTATTTTTTTATTTTATTTTATTTTTTAAAGATTCTATTTATTTATTTGACAGAGAGATAGACAGAAGAGCACAAGCAGAGGGAACGGCAGAGGGAGAGGGAGAAGCAGGCTCTGCACTGAGCAGGGAACCCGATGCGGGACTCGACCCCAAGACCCTGAGATCATGACCTAAGCCGAAGGCAGACGCTCAACCATCTGAGCCACCCAGGCGCCCCCTTTTAAACATAAGATTCGATCACTGAACCTTGCTTCATTATATGTTAGGTATTCTTTCACTGATAGTCAAATGATAGTAAATTAAGTGATTTAAGTGGAAAACATTTAACTTCTAAGGAAGAGAATCTTGTTCTCTTTTATTTACCATTAATTTACATATGTAGAAAAAATATATATGAAATTCTAATACCCTATTTTTTCCCTGGATTTATGCCCATTTCATTAAATAATCCATTTTTTTATTATTATAGGCATTCTTTGCTTTGCATGGTTCCCAAATGCACCAATTTCAGTGACTATGTTTTAGTTACATAACAGCAGTTCCCAACAACACAGTTCAAATTTTATTTCCTACAGTATATTAACTGTGAGTAATTCTACAAAGTACAAACTTTGCCTTCTACAAAGCACTGTGTAACAACAGATGTACATCATTATCATGGCCAATCATATCACTCTTTCAGTCTCTCAGTGATTGGTCACTACTTAATCTGTTGGTCAGTTCACACAGAGATAGCAAAATGTGTGGTTTGCATTGCCTTCTTGTCTCATAGTGATAAACCCATGAGATGTTTTAAAAAAATGGGTAATCAAAAGAGAATTGACCAAAAAAGATGAAAGTACAGCAAAGAAATGAAAATTGATCATACATTAGTTTTACTATTTTAAATTTCCCTTTATGTTCATAACTGTTGGCAAGAGAATTTTTATTGTTTTGAAAAAAATTTTAAAGGTCATAGAACAATTGTAATTTTCCCCATTGGTATTAAGGCTTTATGGTTTCATCTTGCATTGTCATTTTTATGACCCCACACTACTGTGCCAAGTAAGGACTGCCTATGTTCTAGAATGCTTCACTTCAAAATTTCATATACATTTTTTATTTATACATATTTTATTTACTTTATCACTTGAATACATTTTGATTTTACAATATTTTTAGCATGCAGATATCCCAAACCCGAGATTGCCATTGTGAAGCAAGCGAAGAAGGTATCATCAGCAGAGACCCCTGATAGTTTTGGTATAGTACAATCTTAACAGTATTGATTGATTGTCAGATGTTATTGCAAATAGCAAAGCATCTATTTGACAGAACTTCTTGCCTGTTTGAAATAGAATGTTTTGGTTGTAATGATAACCTTTGTTTTTTGCACCAGTGTTTTAGACTGTCTACAGAGTATTTTTGTTATCTAATCCTAGTCTTTGTGGATGGAATAATAATTGCATGTTTAATTAACTGAAGGATTAAATTTATAACCTTAACAAGACATAAAACCACTTATATTTAGTTATATTTAAATAACATATTTTTAAAATTATTGAAATGGGGCACCTGGGTGGTTCAGTCAGTTAAGCATCGGACTCTTGATTTCAGCTCAGGTCATGATCTCAGGGTCGTGAGATTGAGCCCTGTGCCGGACTCCGTGCTGGTTGTGGAGCCTTCTTAAGATTCTCTCTCTCTCTCACCCTCTGCTCCTCCCCCCTCGCCCCCACGTGCTCAGTCTCTCTCTCTCAAAAAAAAAAAAAATTGTTGAAATAACTGAGGAAGTGAGACATAAGAAGCAACAAAAATTATGAATTTCTTTAGGATGCATGAGTAGGAAAAAAGGACCACACACAGGAAAAATCTTCAGAATATTGTAAGGAGAAACTGTATTTAAGTAACTGAACTTCAGGGAAATACATTTTTAAAGTATATTCTTGAATATTTTGAAAGTCTTATTTTAAAGTCATTCATGAATTTTTTTTAGATTCCGTTTCCATACAGCTTGATATCTAACTTGTGTTGCATGAACTGGTTGGAGGAATTATGTTGTGTGCATGTCCATGTGTGTGTATGAGAGAGAGAGAAAGATAAGGGAAGGGAAGGAGAAATAAAAACTATATCTCTGTCCCTATTTTATTTTGATTGCTATTTAATATAGATATATTGCCTAAGAAGTATAACACATGTATGAAAAAGTATCAAAAATATTTTATGGAATAATTGAAATTTTGTAAGAATAAAGGTTAAATGCAACTCAGTTTTCTTAGGATGTATATACACTGTCAAGAGTGAAGACCAGTCTGTAAGAGGTTAAGAGAAATGTAGAGGCACAGTGTGTGTACATACATACACATATTAACAGATTAGTACATTTTCTGTAAAAAATCCCACAGTATATTCTATTTGACCAGTTCTGATGTAATTTTAAAATTAAAAAGTTTTCATCTCTGTGTATATGTAGAAGTTAAATGTTTAAATGCTAATGTCTTTTTATTGTTGTTGTTTTTTGTTAGAGAGAGCTTGAGAGAGTGTGGGGGTGGGAGGGGCAGAGGGAAAAGGAGAGAGAGAATCTTAAGCAGGCTCCACGCCTAGCGTGGAGTCCGATGAAGTGCTCAATCTCACGACCCTGAGATCATGACCTGAGCTGAAATCAAGAGTCAGATGCTTAACTAACTGAGCCTCCTAGGCACCCCAATGCAAATGTCTTTTTAAGAATAATTTTGAAGTATTCTGAAGAGTGTTTACTTAGCCTTTATTTTTAGGACAGTGTAGGGAAAAAGGAATGATAATGATTCTATAGATGATGACAGATATCAGTAGGAGGTAAGGTGTTGCTGAACAGTAACTAAATTAATAGGAGTCAGTGATCACCTTTTGAGACTCAGTCTTTAGTTGTATCCCTCCTCACTGTAGGGTACTTTTTTGTGAATATTTAGTTGATAGCTCTGTATTTTTTTTAAACCCTACTTGTTATGCAATAAGGAAGAAATACAGAATAAAAATCTTAGATCTAGAAAGGATCACAGGACCTAAACTCATTTTATGTAACATGGAATAGATCTAGAGGTTTGTGACATGTTCAAGATATGGCAACTGGTTACCTATACCTCAGAGTGACGATTAGTGTCGAGTCCTTTGGATTTTTAGTTCAGTGTTCTTTTTGCTGTGATAAATTTCTTCATGGTTAGAAGAGAAGATTAGTGCTAGACTATAGGATATTAAGTTTTTCTGAAACCATCAGAAACCATGTAATTTCCCATTCAAAATATGTTTTATTTGGTAACCATAGTCAGTTGATTTACTCCTCTTTCTTTTAACTGTGATGGATTTTTGAAAAATGATTTATCTGAAAGGAAACTATTTCTTAGGATGGAAAAAAAATTTGAAAAGGATATTAATATTTTAGTTAATTGCAGTTTTACTTCAATTTCAAATATTAATGTATGACCAATGTTTTGATAATGTTTATGTATTAACATATAATTGATTCTTGGTTTTCTGTGGTTTTCTATTGTCATTTTATTCATTGAACGAGGATTAGAACAAGAGAATGAGAACCTGGGTTCTAGATCCAGCTGTGTAGCCTCGAGTAAGTCATTTAACATCTCTGGCCCTAAGTGGCTGCATCTTCAAAGTGGAGAATCAAGTCAGTATTTCTCAGTGGGTATACTACTGGCATTTGGGCTGGATAAATCTTTATTATGAAGGACTCTCTTGCGCATTACAGGGTGTTTAGCACCCCTAATGCCAGTAGCATTTCCCAGTCACTATCACATCCAAAAGCAACCCTGCATTTCTGAGCAAGGGTTGAGGTATACTCCATGTTGAAAACTACTGGCAGATGGTTTCTAGGGATCCTTTCAGCTCTAACATTCTGTGAAAGAATTCTTATTTGAGGAATGACTGGAAAGGAAAAAGGTAATGCATTGACTGAAAAATCTCTGCTTCTTCCTAGTATTAAGCAATTTTATTTAAAAATGAACGTCGTCTGGAGATCTGTGTAACTATACCCGCAGATATATGTACCATTTATTGTGTTCCAAGATGAATTATTATATTTTTCAAGCTCTCCTTAAGCTTTCCATCTATAATATAATGTATATGTATAATATACCTAGTTATATGATTTTTCTAGAGTTTCTTAAAGTTATATAGTATTGTCTCTATGTAATGAGTAAAAGTAAGAGGATCTGATTATTTTTAAAAAGTTGTACTGTTGGGGCACCTGGGTGGCTCAGTTGGTTAAGTGTCTGCCTTTGGTTCAGGTCATGATCTCGGGGTCCTGGGATGAAGCCTCATCTCAAGCTCCCTGCTTAGCAGAGAGCCTGCTTCTCCCTCTCCCTTTGCTGCTCCCCCTACTTATATTCATGCCCTCTCTATCTCTGTCAAATAAATAAAATCGTTTTAAAAAGTCTGTACTGTTGGGTGCCTGGGTGGCTCAGTTGTTAAGTGTCTTCCTTCCGCTCAGGTCTTGATCCCAGGGTCCAGGGATCAGCCCCTCATCGGGCTCCCTGCTCAGCGGGAAGCCTGCTTCTCCCTCTCCCACTCCCCCTACTTGTGTTCCCTCTCTTGCTGTGTCTCTCTCTATCAAATAAATAAATAAAATCTTTTTTAAAAAATTTATATTGTTGTTTTTATCTTAGCTTTTTAAAAAAGGAATGTCATTATGTATAGTAATTATTTCCTTTTTCTGTCTTCCTTTGGCATGAAGGAAAGGAAGGAATATAGTTTCTGTGTTAAATAGTATATATTATTTTCAAGTACACATTTAGACATGTAAAAGCAACCACAGATCAATAGTATGTTTGATTATCTTTAAAAAACTATGAAGTGGAAGAGGCAAGATGGTGGAAGAGTAGAAGACCTTGTTTCATCTGGTCCCTTGAATTTAGCTAGAAAACTATTAAATCACTCTGAACACCCATGAATTCAACCTGAGATGTAAGAAAAGAATTTCAGGAACTCTACAAGTAGAAAAGTGAGCACTTTTTGCAAGGTAGGAGGTGCAGAGAAGTGAATCTGCAGGGAGATATGGGACGATTAACAGCAGGGGAGGGAACTTCCCTGGGGAGGGGCCAAGCGTATGTGTGAGTGCAGGAAAGGGCAACAGCTCTCAGTGCAGGGGGCGAGGGAGGGATGGCTCTGTAAAGAACACTAACCAGCGACCCTCTGCCTTCCCCCAGGAGGGACTGACCGGGTACATACATGATCAGGTGACCGTTCTTTGTGCAGGACCCTGCAAAGTGCAGAAATGCAGCAACTGACTTCCCCTTGGAGGATTGTTGTAGGTGCACACCATGAAGACCACTTATCCCTGAGGGTTTGCTGAGGAGAGGGGACCATGATCTTTTCACTCTGGGGCTGGAGATGGGGTGCAGCCATTTTTATTTTGATCCTCTAAAGAGGCACGGAAAGCCTTCAGGGAACTAAAGCCACACAGAGCAACCAAAAATAACTTACACCAAGCCCGGCCCCCAGGGGGCGTGCAACTCTGCCCAGGCAAAAACACCTGAGAGTCAGCGCAGCAGGCCCCTCCCCCAGAAGACCAACTGGAAGAACAGGTGAATAGCAAGTTTATGGACCACACAGAACTGTAAAACTCCAGTGCTAGGGGAAAATAGTATATAGAATTTGAGGGTTTTTTCTCATGATTTGTATATCTTTCACTTTAAAATTTTCCATTTATTTATTTTCTTTTTTCCCTTTTCAACTAGTTTCTTATTTTATCAGCTCTTTGTTTTTAAGTCTTTTTTTTAACTTTCATTTTTTTTACATTTACATTTTATAGATATAGTCTTCATTTTTGGCTTCCTTTCACTCCATTCAATTTTAATTTTGTATATATGTAAGTTTTGCTTTCTTTACAATTTTGGGATTTAGTCTCTTCTAACACACAGACCAAAATACCCTCAGAACCAAGTGGATCACCCTACTTTGTCCACCCTGTGAGATTATATTCTCTCTTCCCCCTCCCCATGCTCCCCCCCTTTTTTTGTTTTTGTTTTTTTCTTTTTCTTTTTTGGTTTCTGACCTCTTTGGATTTTTCTAGTATGTATTTCACTTGGGTTGTGGGTTTTTTTTTTTTTTTTAAGATTTTATTTATTTATTTGACAGAGAGAGACACTGCAAGAGAAGGAACACAAGCAGGGGGAGTGGGAGAGGGAGAAGCAGGCTTCCTGCCAAGCAGGGAGCCTGATGCGGGGCTTGAACCCAGGACCCTGGGACCAGGACCTGAGCCGAAGGCAGATGCTTAA